AAAGCTTAGTGATTTCCCCCAAAGTACCACCACACAAATAAATAACATATACAAACAAGCATGTCGGGTCCAATCAACCATCCAGTTGAAATACCCTAGGACCAGTCAACCTCCGGGTCCAGTCATCCTCGGGATGGAATACCCCAGGCTGGAATGCCAATATACAATGGATCCAGTCATCCTCGTGATGGAATACCTTCGGGCCCAATCAACCATCGGGTTGGAATGCCCCCAGTCTATTGGCCCACGCAAATAGCAGTAAAGCCTCAACCATAACTCAAAATATGTGAACATATAATAAATAAACATATAACCGACCAACAAACTAGCTGACAGATCTAACAGATCACTACAACATAACGACATAATATCACATATCAGGATATCTAATCTAATGGGCTGGCCTTGGTGCCTTTGACCCATAAGTATAGTGAGGAAAACTCACCTCAAAGTCTGGACAATAGCTGATGAGGTCCCCCACTCCGAATCTCATCTCTAACCGTCACCTATCCAACCAAATGACCAAATTCTCAAACACAATCCAAAATAACCAGAATATCCTTAAGTCAAACTTGGTCAACCTTTGTCAAAGTCAAATTCAAACTGGTCAAAATTAACAAGTCAACTGAGTCACTCCAACCGAGTCAACTCAGGGCGCGTACGTGGGGTGTACTCCAGAAGTACGTGGGGCGTACTCGAGCATTGACCACCGTCGATGAGCTTGACCACGTACGCGTTGCGTACTCAGGTTACACAGGGTGTACGCCCAGACTTCCCCAAAAACACATTAATAGTTTAATGCATTAAGCTCTCACGTCCAACTTCCAGATCTAAGGCTAAAATACCATTGAGAGTCATAAAATTCCAACTTTATGACCTTGCATGTCCATTAAGTGCCCAATACCCTGAAGTACAACATCTTAATGCATTAAGACCTTCTAAAGAATGCATGGAGCAAAACTAACCATCAAAACCATATTTTTATGACTTAAGACCCTTCCTAAGGTCTGAAAGGACAACTTAATGGGTCAAGAACATGTCATGCTAAAGAATCACCATTTTGGGACAAAAGTAACTTAATGGAATGAAATGTATAGATCTACAAGATGGAGTGATAAAGCTGCAAGCTTTATACCTCCTGGGGGTTGCAAACAATGAGGGAATCTCAGATCCAAATTGCTTCCAAGCTCCAAGCTCTTCTCACCACCTTCTTCTTATCTAAACACACTCCTATGGCTCAAAAATGTACTTTTCTCACTTAGAGTTGCTTGAAGACGTTTTTCACAGAGGGAGGCTACTGAGGATATGAGGCATGAAGTTATAATGGTGATTATATAGGGCCAAAACCCTAAAAATTAGGATTTGGACATCCTGTGTGTATGCCCTGCGTACAAGATGTACGCTCAACGTACTAGGGTCCGCCCTAGTACTCTCAGCGTACACATCGTATGCCCAACGTACTAACCTCAAGTCCAAAATTACCACAATGCCACTATAGGCCATTTGCGCTCTTTCTTGTACTCAGGGACTAAAACACAATATGCATTCATACTAAGCGTTGAAATTCAAAATACCTTAGTATCGGGATGTTACAATATGAAAATATTGTTTGCATGAGTAATATTAATAATCTAATCTTCAATGTTGATTCTTCCGAAAGTGTATTGGATAAGTCGTGCTTTTGGCATTATTGTCTTGGCCATATAAACAAGAAACTCAAGCTCAAATTTGATTGGATCTTGGAAGAATTTAACTTTAAGTTAGACGATATGTGCTCTTCAATGTTGATTCTTCCGAAAGTGTATTGGATAAGTCATGCTTTTGGCATTATTGTCTTGGCCATATAAACAAGAAACTCAAGCTCAAATTTGATGGGATCTTGGAAGAATTTAACTTTAAGTTAGACGATATGTGCAAATCTTGCTTGCTTGGAAAAATGACAAAGGAGTCACCCATATGTAGTTGTGAAAGAGGTGGGGATTTGTTGGACCTTATCCATACATATATTTGTGGACCGTTCAGATCCTCCATAAGGCTTGGTGAACAATACTTCATGAACTTTACTAATAATTTCAGTAGATATGGGTATATTTATATGATCAAACATAAGTCAGGAACTTTTTAAGTGTTCAAAGAGTTTCAAAACGAAGTAGAGAATCTACAGGGAAAGAAGATAAAGATGCTCTGATCTGATATGGGTGGAGAATATCTAAGTTTTGAATTCTACGACCATCTTAAGAATTATGGAATAGTTTCAGAATTATATCCTCCCAAAATGCCACAGCTTAAGGTGGTTGCTAAGAGAAGAGATCAAACACTATTAGATATGGTTTGATCTATGATGAGTTGAGATGCACTTCCAATAGTTATTCCCTAGAGACAGAGGCCCATATCCTATACCCCATACCAACTATTAAGGTTGCCAAGACACCCTTTGGGATGTGGAGTGGGAAATATACCTCGCTAGCACATATGAAAGTATGGGGTTGTGAGGTCTTCGTTCGTTGCGAGACCCAATACAAACTAGATACATATCAAAGAAGTGGTACTTCTATGGTTATCCCCAAAAGTCTTTTAGATACTTTTTTACAAGCCTTCTGTGAACAATGTGTTTATAGCTTGAAGGGGCTTCTTCCTTAAGAGGGGGCTCATATCCAAAGAAACAAATGGGATTCCATTGATGAGCACGCTCCAAGACTGAGATTAGAGAATTCATGTTCGAGAGCCGCATCATGTGAACCTTTGTTGTTGAGAAAATTAGCATTCAGTTTGTTCCACGCAACTTGAGTAGTGGTGTCATTCTCCAAGATTCAGACCATTAATTCGACAGTGTGCTATAGATCCATTGTAACACTAGGGTGTCGATCTCCACCCGCTGGTGATAAGCAAGATCGGTCTCTGTCGGCGGAGGAGTGTCATTAATGTGATTGACTACCTTGTAGGCTTTGGCATGGAGACATGACAACTTAGTCCACGAGGAATAGGTAACTTTGGTGCCATCCAAGGTTCGAATCTTTTTCTGAACATTCGTTATAATGCAAGGTTGTTGCCTTTACCTCACCTGATCCATAATCGTCTTTGGTCATGGAGAATAGAGATGATGATAGGAGATTAGCAAAGTTGTAGCTTTGATTGATAGAGGCAGGCGATGTAGGATTTTAGAGTTCGTTTACCGCTTTGATACCATAATAGAGGTTCTGGTATAAAGATTTGATGCCTTCAACAGATTAAAAATCCACTATATATAGGGAGAAATACAAATAATACAACTCCAGAATATGTAGATAAAATAGGAATTGATATTCAACAATTCGAATTATATATATATATATATATATATATATATATATATATATATATATATATATATATATATATAATCGGCTAATAGAAAGTATCAATCTCTTTTGACTTTGAAGATGTGAAAGTCTGGTTTTACTCACTAGACATTTCCAACCCCTAACAAATATTATGACATGTATTCAAATGAAGGAGGTGAATGAAGGTTAGAGGATCTTGCATATTTAAGAAAGACGCAATTATTTAGTGGTTACTTTTATTATGTAATGATATTATGATTGTATATCATCTCTTAAACACTTTTAAAACCTATGAAATTTTGAGAATGTAACTGTTTTTTCGCAAAACGATGTCTCTAATTAATTAATTATAGACTTAAAAATGGTTTTAACTATTAAACCAAGAATGGAGTGTTTTAGTTTAGGAGCTAAAAAAAAGAAGGGGGTAGAGTTCAAAATAGCTTGAAACTAAGCATTGATAATATGCTACTGACCAATGCATTGCATATTGTTCCATCTTTTAGAAGTACAACTTCATGAAAATGAAAATACTTATCCAGAATTCGGTAGAGTTTATGTTCATAATATGTTAAAAGGGACGAGTATGGTTGCATCAATGGTTGTGGTCATATTCATCACTTGTTTTATTTCTTTCCAAACATGAAAGCTTTTGTATGGTGCATGATCTTGCGTAAGTTCTTCACACACACACACAAATATGTTTGAATCGGCACCACAAATAGTGATACAAACAAACGAAGCCGAACTCAAGCTAGGCTAGGTTTGAAATTAATGTGTAGGTTTAAAAAAAATTGGGGTTGAGAACTATATTCAATAAAATTAAATTAGATTCAATTTTGAACAAAACATAAGCACTAAAATAAGTACAGATGCTGAATCAAACTACTTACAAGTTTGATAAGAATTCAACTTAAACTTCTTTAGCTTATTTTTATATTCAAACTCGATAAATCAATTTGTTTGTTGTTTCAGTGTCATAGTTGTTAGTCTAGAACATAAAACAACTTGTATTGCGCTTTGCATGGATTATACTAGGATTGATTGATATTTATAGTACAAAAATCATAATTTTTGTTCCTCCCAAAAATTTGAAACAATGTTGTACTCCTACTTCCACTTGGTTTGTTGTCGATGCAAAAGACGTAAATGCCCTCAACATTGAAAATACCTCTACTAAATATGTCTAATCTTATCTTTGAATTGTATAACAAACACATCCTACACCCATGATATAGCTAAGTTGGTTTCAAGGTGACATTTGAGGCTTAGGCAATAGGAGGATGCTACCAAACAACTAAACAAGGTGTTCAATAACGAATCCCTAAACTAGTTCTTATTTCTCGTATATTAAAAAGACGTGTAAATACCCTCATCATCAAAAACATCCCTAAAAAGTCAAGTGTTCAATAACACATCCGATTCAAGTCTAGCAATAAAAATGTCGGGTGTCTCCAAATTAAAATAAAATCTTTGCTAACTAACTAGTTCCCTTCTTCGAAAAAGGTTGCTAGAAATTAGTCTTTTGGTGTTTAAGTGAACAAAACATGGCCTATTACGTATAGAAATCGAAAAAAGTCGGATTTATGTGTGTTTTTTTTTCTTTTTTAATTTTTACAAAAAAACTCCAACCTCCTACTAACAAATAATAAGTAAAAATAAAATAAAAAAACAGTTTTATTGCAAGAAAGATACACAAACATGTTACACCCATGATTCCAACATTTCCATAATCTACTCCCTAATCATTCAACATTAACAACACTATTATTTTTCCTTGACCTCGCACGTGTATAAACCCTAGTAGGTTCTTCCATCACAATCTCTTTCACACTAGGATTAGGATTAGGGTTTGACTGGGTTTCCACCACCTCCATGTCATCGGCGGCATCAGGTGGTGCCACCACCGCTACGCTTTGTGACGAGCTTGCTTTTTGTGCTTTTGAGGTGGCGGCGGCAGGCGGCGGTTGTGGGCGGTGGTTGGTGGTTGGGTTGTCATGTTGAGGAGATGAATCAGATGATGATGAGGAGGTGGTGGAAGAAGGTGATGGCGGCTCTTTTGGTTCTTGTTGAGATGGTGGTGGTGGTGGTGGTGGTGGTGCTCGGCGGTTTTGTGTTGGTTGTCGAGGTCTAGCGGGTTGAGGCGGCTGTGGTTTTGGTGTTGACTGTGAAGCAACGTATTGAAGAACATCAAAGATTCTTGTTTGACCATAAGTCGCAGCTCTTTGCCAATACAAAACAACAATATCTCCAGCTCTTGTTCTTAATTCCATTAAATTTCGATCAATGTCTGTTTCATGCTTTGAAATATATGGCCTGAAGAACGAATCATACACATATATTGTTCCCTGAAATAATTTAACCAAAAAAAAAAAAACAAGTTGTGCTTTATATAGTTGTACAGTACAATCATCTAAAGCATAAAATATAAATTGTTGTGTACAAATCACTAACCATCATAAAAATAAAACACGGTATGTATTACTTTGGGTTTTTTTTTTTTCCGGATTAAACCTCAATTTTGTTTCTTTTCCCTTTAAAAAGACCTTTTGCATTTTTCCATTTATTTCAATTTGGATCTTTCAGGAAAAAAACCATCAACTTTTTTTTTTTTTTTCCAAAAAAACCCTCAAATTTTTTACTTTGTTCCAAAACAAAACCCTCATAAAAGACCTTATATTTTGTGTTTTTTCCGGATTAAACTTCAACTTGATTTTTTGCTTGAAAAAGACCTTGTATTTTTCATTTTTTTCCGATCTGGTGCTTTTAGTTACTTTTAACCAAAAAAATTGTAAATTGTGAGGGTTTTTTCGAGAAAAACTAAAAAAGTTGAGGGTTTATTTGGAAGCGTTTAGAAGGTTGAGGGTTTTTTTAGGAAAAAAAAATAGAAAGTTGAGGGCTTTTTGGAATAAAGAAAAAAATACAAGGTCTTTTTCAGGTAAAAAATAAATTTGAGGTTTAATCCAGAAAAAAACATAAAATATAAGGTCTTTTTTGAGATTAACCCTTTTTTTTGGAAAAAAAAAACCCTCAGCATTCTATCTGTTTCCGAAAAAAATCCTCAACTTTTTTAGTTTTTTCCGAAAAAACCCTCACATTTTACATGATTTTTCGGAAAAAAATGACAAAAAGGGCCAGATTGAAAAAAATGAAAAAATGCAAGGTCGTTTTCAGGAAAAAAAAATAAAGTTGAGGTTTAATCAGGAAAAAACATAAAATATAAAGGTCGTTTATGAGATTAAACTAAAACAAAATGTTAAATGTGAGGGTTTTTTCGGGGAAAAAAAAAAGTTTGAGGATTTTTCCGGAAAATATTGTCCAAAACCAAAAGATTAAAAGGTTACCAGTAAAGGGCCAAATCGGAATAACTGAAAAAATGCAAGGCCTTTTTTAGGAAAAAACTTGAAATATAGGGTCTTTTGTGATATTAACCCCCCAAAAAAATAAAATAAACATTATTTAAGAAGATGAAAATTTGAAATATATATATTTAGACCTTTAAATGTAAAAATTACCTTTGTTTTTGGGTACCACAAGTATATGTAAAATGCTAACTTTGCTTCACTGTACATTGGAACCCTTCACAAGTAGAACAACCAAAAACAAATAATTTATTACATTTTATTATTATTGGCTTGTAAAAATGAATATATGATTTTTTTTTAATTATATGTAGATACAATGTATAACTTAGACTCTACTCTACATTATTTTATTATAAATAATGAACTTTGTATCTACAGATGTAAAACATTAAACATAATAAAAGCTCATTGAAACCCAAATAATATTATTATAATAAAATATACTTTCCTTTAGCCTTGTAAATCTTCTGATTCTCATAAAGTTTGCCAGGAGGTATCACTTTATCCAAAAAAAAAAAAAAAAAAAATTCTAGTTATTTATAGGAAATATAACTTTGATTTAATTAAAACCATAGAGTACTAAAAAAAAAAAAAAACTTTTCATTTGAAAATACATAAATAAAAATTGGGTTATATACTTATATTACAATTTTTCATTCCACTTCATGAGGGAATGGAAAGCAATCTCTCATAGGAAATGGAGAAACTAAAAAAATGAAAGGAATCAAACATTCCATTCCATTCCTTTGATTCCATTCCATCATACCACAAAATTACAGGCTTACCATGAAACAAACGTGTCACCAATCCTCTCACAAACAGTCAATACAGCAACTAAGATCCTGAAAACATCATCAAACAATTTAGAAAACTCCTAAATTTATCAATCAATTCCTTTATTAGAATTCAGAATCTAACATGTATAGATGTATAATACCAGTATTGGCACCAAAAACGAAGTTGTTCAATATCAGGTTTATTTCTCTCAACTGCTTTGAAGCATTCATAGGCTGGATATGCATATCCAAACACCATTCTACATGTAAATAAGTAGTCAAATAGTTAAAGAAATCCAGTTATGATTCTCCATAAACAAAGTGAAGAAAACAAGTTTTAGATCACATACACAAGCCCTCTTGTAAGAAAGGATCCAATCATCTTGTAACCCTGTTAAACACACTAAACACAAAATCACAATTCCAATAGGAGAAATTCAAAAGGAGAGAATTATGAAGCAAGATTCAACTTAATCACAGACATAGGCCACAGGTGTTCTGACAAATTGTTAAAACTGAAATGTATTGATGCACGATTCTTCATCTTTACTTCAAAACCTATTAGTTCAACTAACAGAATCACACGAGTTTAAGGCAGAAAATAGTACATTTACTTTTAAAAGTAGCACATGTCATGTGTACTATGGCCACCGATTAGCATCATAGACTGAATGTTGCAGGTTTTTTTTTTGTCGATATGAACAACTAGACAAAGAAACTAACAAGATTGATGCCAGTTCTGTCGCAACTGAAATCACATTTGCAGATTTTTAGCGATATATTTGTTTCTGATTGCATGTACTATATAAAGTGGAAAATCCCTATAAGCATAATTTATAAGAAGAAATCTTATCCACTGAAGGAATCACATTTCAACAAGTTTCCAAACTACGAATCAAGCTAAGAATCTTAGACGAAAAGTCACGAAGACGATAAACAAATTCAAAGTTACTGACAACAGCAGTAACTCCATATAATCCATTTGCCGATCAAAAGTCCATCAGGTGAAAGAGCAAAAATAAAATAAAAAATCAAACCTAGAAATTGGCAAAACAACACAAAAATGAAAAATCAATATAAATTTAGAAAAATATGGCAAATTGCATCACGAACTGCATAAAACTTGTATAATACCTCGAACAGATACAGAGAAAAGTAGAAGTTACCTAAGGTTTTACTGGTTGTTGGCGAAAATAGTTGAGCTGAATAAAAGTTGCAGAAATTGGAGTACTGTCGATAAATGATACGCAACTTGCATAAATATTGGTGCAGAATCCGATTATATCGGGGGAGCGTCGCCGCCGTAATGCGACGGTAAACAGCAGCTACGTTGGACGGAGGGAAGAGGGAGAAATGGGGGAGAGGATTTTGAGGCGTTTGAGGAGTTTCTGACTTCTGTTTCCTTCTCTTTTCTAACCCATCTATATCTTTACGTTTTCCAAATTCTACTCATTAAGTACTTCCCTCTTGAACAGTTGAACCCACGTCCTAGTAAATTAATTGGTTAATATCATTTTAGCCCTATAAAAATTTCAGGTTTAAAGTTTTTTTTTTTTTTTTTTTTTTTTTTTTTTTTGTAATTTATGGGCTTAAAATCTGTTTTTTATCTATTAATAAGGTCACTTGACTCGTTATAATAAGTTTCATCTCCTACAACCTTCTGTTTTATATATGAGTTTGTCTAGCGATTATCGATAAAAAAAATCATAGTTAGGTAACAAAACCATCATTTTTTCCTTTAATAAAACACATATCACAAAAATCGAACAGGGCCTCATCACTCCTAATCAAACACGATGCCCTAATTTCACCGGAGGGATGTGATAGTAGTCATTGAATTCTCTCCAAGTACACGAAGTTCATTGGGAATTTTGCTAGCATCGTCGCAAAGTGTCATATCTATTTGGCATAGTCAAATTGAGGCTTATAAATGGAGCAAAGACAAAACGACATCTGGAATTTGGGTTTGATTTGTTCTTCAAAGAGGGGAAAAGATACATATGAGGCTTTGTATAAATGCATTGTGTACGGTTTAACTTTCAACAAAGAGAACATCAACTTGAAAGCTTCGTAAATCATCAGAGAAAATGAGATGCCCACACCTTCAACTACCTTGTTGCAGATGAATTTAGAGAGTCTGATGGCTTTTCTTGTGGGAGTCAAGGATGAATTGACTAAGAAATATGGAGGTGGGAAAGATGCTATAAACAAAGTCATGTAATTTACTAAGAAGACTATTTATACATTTGAATCATATATTCAAAGTTTCTTCATTTTCTTCATAATCTTGAGTAAAAATCGGAGGAAATTTGACTTTTTCCAAGTCATTTGTCATCCATTTCTCCTCACAAGCAACATCTAGTTCATCTAAGCTTTGATCTTAGTCAGATCTATATTTTGTTATCTCATTCATTATCATCTTTGGTTTCCCCTTTAATTTCTTCAACCTCATTGTTGGATTTATCTCTGATTCTGTTTCCTTTTCTTGAAAATGGTGTCACTTTCTCAACTTCATTATTTAAATCGCTACTCGTACTCCCTTTTCTTGATAAAGATCGAGTTGATATGCTTCTCTAAACTGAGTTTCTCTCAATTCCATCAATGGAAACACTCTGTTCCTTACACTCAGATTTCCATGTTTTCCTATTTCCACCGCCATCGGCACCATTAGAGCTATGTTTAGATCTCAAAACCACCTGCATTTCAAGAGAGTGTTTGGGATTTCATTTCAAAACAATCTCCCAGTAGTCTCAGTTGGATTTTCTATGGAAGAGAAGTAAACTGTTATGGGCAATCTTTGTCAAAAGTCAAAATTGGATTTTTATTAAATATATAATAAGATTATTATTATTATTATTATTATTATTATTATTATTATATATATATATATATATATATATATATATAGGATTGGGATCAAATGTGAATCACAAATATTGTGGAATGTATGACCAAATCATGGTCATTAAATTAAAAGAAATTAGTGGATGTGATTATGGTACATAGTATTAACATGTGATAGAAATTACTATATAATTACATTTAATTAATTATAAATATATTAAATGATAAATATAACATTTTATTAAAAGAGATCAAAGGAGAGTAACTAAATTTTAGGAAACCCAATCAAATCTATTAATAAAATCTAAATTTATACTTTTAAAAATAAAATCATTTATCAGAATCACGTATCGAAGAATTTGTAATATTCATAAAGCATGAAATATATTTCATTCTTTAATAATCATTCTAATTCATTAATCATATTTTTGTTCTTTAAGAATCGATTTCATTCATGATTTACATAATACTAACAATATGTTTTTATACAATACTCACAAAGCATGAAATTAAAGAAATGCGATTTTATTCTTTAAAAATAAAAAATTTACTTGTAACCGATTTCATTCTTTCATAATCAAATTTCATTCTTTAAGAATGTGTTGATTGATAATGTTTTTGAACTCCTATCATAAAACAAGTGATGTGTAACACCCGTTCCGAGAAGGTTTAGTTCTAACCCTAAAATGTTTTAATTCTTGCCATTTTAGTTAGTACCTCGTGGGTACTCAAGGTGTATGCATGGGGTACTCATGCATGACGATCGCGAGATTTGCATGTGTACGTCAGGCGTACTCAGCAGGTACGCCTCGTGTACGCTGTTCAGACCAAAACCCTAATTTTGAGGGGTTGCACCCTATATAATCTCATTATGGCCCCAATACCTTCACCCTCATCAACCTCCACCAAAAAATCATCCCTCTAACTAACCCTAAGTGTAAAGAGTGCATCTTGAGCTCATTTGTGTGTTTTGGTGGTAATCTTGAAGAAGAAGAAGAATGTGGTAGAAGGACATAGGAGCTTGGAAGAAGCTTGGATCTGGGATTCTCTCCTTGCTAGCAACCTTCGGGAGGTAAAAAGCTCCTAGCTAGACCATTTTTTCTTATGGATTTAGATATTCCTTCATTTAGGGCATTTTTGGTCCAAACATTTGTGATTCTTGAGCATGGCATGCTCTTAACCAAATTTCAGGCTCCCCTTTGTGGTCCAATCTTCGTCACGATGGTAGTAGAGCGGGAGGAAGCAAACACAACAGGATCAGTCGATATTTAGGGAAAGTACCTCCCGTGTCGGCTTCAACTGGAAAAGAAGAAGGGTGTCGACAAAAGGCTATCTTCGGTGCCTTCATTCCCTTTATATTCTAGTCGGCAGCAAAACGTAAAAGATGAGGGAGGTCTTCGGTTCTCTGTTGATTCCGAAAAGAAAGAAGCATGAACGGAGGCTGCAGTTGATGGTGATGGTAGCCCTTGGCTCGCCGGAAAGCATTCTCTGGTGCAGTTCCTCCCACTGGTACTAGAGAGAAGAGAGATAGAGTGAGAAAGGTACTAGAGAAGTAATCGGGTATTGCTTCTAATTGAAGCATTTCAATGCACAAACCAAAAGTCTTCATTGACTTTTGGTTAGATATTTTTGAAAATAAATAAGTATAATTTATTTGGTGATGTAAATCCCAATTTCTTGATTCTCGTGTTGCTAATTCCCGGCATGTGAATTTTTTTTGAAAATGCCTGCTTGTTGTCTCGGTCGTTGGGATTTCAGAAACGCAGACAGAATTCAATTTTGATATACCAAACTCCTTGAATTTACGTTTAAAGTTTCGCGATTAATAGGATCGGGTTCGACAGATTTTACGAATCTGATTTTGGTCGAGGTTAAAACGATTATAAAAATATAATAAAATAATAGACCGTAGTTTGAATTCAAAAACGTGCTCAAAAGTGATTTTCGAGGTTCGTAGTTATTCCAAACGAAGCAGTGCACGTTTTGTTTCAGGGAAATTAGATAAATACTGATTTTTGTAACTTTAAAGAGGCGTAACTTTCTCATACGACATCTGTTTTGGACGTTGTTTATATCTACGAAGTCAGGAGAACATAATCTATTCAAATATTTTATCCATAACTCTCAAATATATCTGATGCAAAAAATTATTTTAACGTCACCAATAGATTTAATTTTTGTTGATTTTTTGTTCTATCTTCAACGATAAACGATTTGACCGAATTGAGATGTTCTAAAAGAAATTATAAATATAATATATTTAATATACATTATACACATAAAATTACACACAATTTCATTAATACCTAGCGGTTCGTAGTGGTTTGACCGCCGAACACTGACCGATTTTTACCAATTGTTACATGAGGAGATTAATAGAATCACGCATCAAATTTGGGCTCACGACATGAGCATATATAGCTCACAACGTGAGACCAACCTGAGAGGAAACCCTAATTTTAGGGGCTTTATTCCATATTTAAAGGAAGTGAGGGCAAGGGTTATCCCACCCTCAACCCTCATCACCTCCTTGCACTCCTTTTTGTAACCCTAACATCCATATTTTGATCTTGAGCTCATTTAAGGTGATTCTAGCCAAGGAGAATAAGATAAAGAGCATCTAGTCCATCATTTCTGCATTCAAGTCTCTCCATCAAGCATTTTCACACCTTCTTGACCTTTTGTGTGTTTCAAGTTCATTGCTTTTATGAGTCCATAAGTTTATATCTAGCTTTTTATGCTTAGTACTTAATATTCAAGATGATGTAGTGGTTGAAATCCATAAAGTTGCCAACTTTATGGATCTCCAGTGTCCATTGAGTAGTATAGATGCTAGATCTAGAATATGGTTGAGTTTTATGACTCTTGCATGAGATTTGATGTCATTTTCTTCTTTTATGCCCTAGCTAGTGTTTGGGACATGGGGTCGAAGGCACCAATGTCGGCCCATTGAATCATGTATCCTGGCTAGAGGATGTTGTTATGTTGTATTGATCTATTAAAATTGAATCATGGTATATAGGATGTTGCTATGCGATATTGATCTGTAGATCTATCTGTTAACTGGTTATATGTTATTTGTTATGTATATGTCGACATGTCATGGTTTTGGGTTGAGTGGGCCCAATGGTAGTCTGATGACTGAGTGGACCCATTGTATATGAAGGGTTTTGAGCACTATAACAACCTTAAGGTGCACATACAACCCTAGATGCTTTGGATCTATGTTTTCTCTAATTATACATGCAATTTGATTTTTCAAAGCATTCATCCTAACTAGCATACAAAGCATAGGTAATTCAAAAACAAAACTAGTTAGATAACTTACCTCTTCTTGTAGCTTGTTAACTTGGACCTTTAAGAGCCTAGCACCTCAAATGTGATGCCTCAAATGCTTCACAAAACACCACCAACAATGGAGGACTTGAGATAAATGATTATCTTATCACAAAAATTCGGCTCTAACTCTTCTAAAGAATACATGGCCGATTTTGGAGGCTAAGGGGCTTCTTTTATAGTGTGGCAAAGATTACAGTTACATCCATGCAAACCCTAATGCCCATGACCTTTCATATTACATAGGATCCATGGGTTAAATCTCCATGGACTACCATATTGGTTTAGCCCGCCATAAATAACCATTAGCCCATACTATAAGAATCATTGATTTACTTAATCAGTCCCCATATATTTAATTAGTCTCTTTTTATCACTAAATTAATTCTAAATTAATTCTTGATCAATACTAATTAAACAATATGATTTCATATTAATATATTATACTTATAATATGTTAATAAATCATAAGCAATCTCTTTCTCAAATGTCCATCCTATCAGATTGTTCTGGTGAAATGCAACCCAAATGGACCATGCTAATTTCGTGTCAAGTACATACCAATTATAGTTATGGACTTAAACACCTTATCCAACAGTCTCCCACTTGGATAACTCTCCATCCTTCATTTTTGTTGTTACCATGGAGGCGATGAATTCATACCTCTCTTGACGAGCACTTTGATGGTATCTTTCCATCAAGTCCTGGTGCATCTCAAAAGGGTAGAAGTCCTCATAGGACTTTTTGGAGTTCAGCTGTCATGGTGGCCAACATGATATAAGACACCTTAGTGGCATCCTTCTCATAAGTCCTATACTCAGCGATCTCCTCAGGAGTAGCAGACGACTCATCAATTTCCTTAAGCTCCTTCTCGAGGACATATTCCTTGTCCTCATAATGAGTGACCATCCTGATGTTCCTAATCCAGTCATTGAAGTTGGTACCATAAAAGATGACTCTCTCACATAAGTTCATGAGAGAGAAGGAGTCAGAAGGGTTTGAGCCAGAAGCATTGTTGGAAGACATCTGAAAAAGAAAGAAAAAGTTTAGATTAGATAAGAATCCTTAATATAGCACCCAAATGAAATATTAAGGCTAGGACCCAACACAATATTTTACAACTTGGAAGAAGGATGTCGTAATCCAATTGCAAAATATTTGAAGGTAGGTAAATGACGATTTACCAATTTCCACCATGAAAAACGAAATTGATTATTAAGTTTTAAATGAATTGAAATTCCTAGATTCTTTTGAGATTCATTGAACTTTTCAATGGCATGTTTAAATCTCGATTATGCCCTTCAAGTTTGTGACTGGGATACCGAGGATCACAAACAAGGTGTGAATAACCATGCAAATGCGCTTGGTACACTTAATGTAATTTATCACCTAATCGATGTGCCGGTTAACCACACACGCTCCATCGATCTATGACAAACATTAAGCTACCCTTTGCCACCCTTGTTAGTCCAAGTTAGTGTGCCGGTTAACCACACACGCTCCACTAATGACTTAGCAAGGT